ACCACAGTATGAGTTACCAGTAATTATAGTGAACAATTTGAAACAATACAGTTTTGTTTACAGTACATGGAAGACTATATCAGTAGGAAACAGAAAATAGATTAACTAACAAAAATACAAGTTTAAAAGGAGAATTCTAGTATTTTTTGGGGGGGAGTGTGTGTGGGGTGTGATCTAGTTTTAGGACCTTATAGTCCTTTCTAAGTGCATTTTATACATTTTTTATACATCAACAAATAATGCATATAATAACATCTTTATTTTGTCATAAGTATTTTTTTTTCTATACAAAGCTCCTGTTCTTTTGATGCCATGCTGTCACACTGTACAGGAGTAACAAAGGCCAAGTTTTCTCTGTGAACTGTGTTAAATGGATTAAACTCTCTCATGCTTTTTATTTAGCCATACCTGAGACCTTCAGATGTGTAGAAGCTATAATTGAGTGAAAGATTTCTTCAGGCTCTAAAGTATAGTTAATTGCATCTTTTTTTCTAAGTTGAAAATAAGATATAAAACATTTAACTTTTGTTTTTTTCTAATATTAAAATTGATTCCAGTTCCAATAAGGGTTTAAGTTGACACAAAGTAAAATCATTGAAAGAAAATGCAGGCAAACCTTGATAAAGACCAGATGAAATTGTGTTGGTATTCAGTTAGACTCATACACACACTGTATTAATAATAATATAAAGAAGTTCAAAACCATGATCTTATTTCATAAGGATTTTTTAAAAATTGATTTTATCAGCCTACATTATATTTCTTCAAAATAGAAATTCACACTGACTAGCTCAGCATGGTGGCTTCAAGGTTTTGAACCCATGACTTCATTAATGCCATAGGCATGACTAAAATAGTGTAGTTGAAATTAATCTTTTTTTAGACATTAATAAGTCATAGTGAAAAGAAATAATTAGCATATCTTTGGGCCAACAGAAGAACACTGAAAATGAAGTCAAGTAAACCAGAGCATTTTAAGATAATTGCCAGGCATACATCATTTATTCCAGATTAGCTAAGGTCACGCACTTGATGCTCCCAGTTTTTGTGTCCATATATGTGGTCATTGTTGCCATCAAATTGCTGAATTTTGATGGCTATATTTAATGGACTGAAAATAGACCATGAAGAAAAGTACTAAGAACAGCAAATATAAAGAGCACGTACTCCATTCAGTTCAACAGTAACCTTTTTAACCTTGCTGTATGCAGGAAATAACCACTTGTATTTTAGTAATTACATTAGCTTCCTTAATGGCATTTGATACAGATGGTATAGGAGGAATTTATCTGCAGCTGAAGAATGCAGGCAACAGTTTTAGTTTGAATTGCAAATACTTTTTCTCGTTGGAGTTAAGTGGGAGGGGAAAGAGAACTCAAAATAGATTTGTGTGCTCTCTTCAATCAGAGGAGCCATTATTTTCCAAAGCTTGTTACCATTTTTGTTTCTCATTGTGTTAAAGCTAATAAAACTTTGCACACTTTAAAAATCTCTGTCAAATCCTGCAGAACAGTAAAGAGGAAGAATAAATGCACTTGTTAGTGCATTTGGGACTTAAGAAATTGATTCTGATTCATGCTACAAATTCTATTTTTGATTTCAGGAAGATACCTCAATCAGTTTGTGTCTTCTCTTCTGTAAAATGGGAGCAGAATATTTTCTTCCTCCTTTTTTATTTATGTCTGTTGTATACTGTTTGTTGAAGGAAATTATTTTAGCGTCTGTACCCAGACATGCACACAAGTTGGACTTCCTGGAACAGAGGATCATGCAAATTTCAAACCCAAAAGAGTATTAAAAAGACCTTTTTTTTTCTGGTCTATGTAGGATAAGTTAAACAGGACAAGGACAGTGATTCTTGCTTTTGATTATGTGGGATCTTCATAAACCAGAGATTACATTCTGACAGATTTTTCTAATAGGCAGACAAGGATCTGTCCTCCATTAGGTCTGATCTTTTTCTGTCATTCTCTACGATTGACTCACAACAGCTCTGACAGTAAACTGAAAATTAAAAAAAAAAACAACAACAACAAAAAAAACCACACACACACACACACACAAAGTTTATTTATTTCAAATCTTAACTCCTTAATCAGGAATAAGTGAAAATGAGAAGAATGACAAGGGACACAAAAATAGAGCCCTTGGCAGCTAGGAAGGAGGAAATGAAGCATGTAATGGAGGGCACACACTTTCCCTCATATGATTTGAGTGGAAGGAATCCCTGAAGTGGGAGTAGGAGGCTGATAAGCAAGAAACTTACAACGTGAAATTGTAGCCCTGTTATGAATGTTTCACATTTCTGTATTGTTTTACTTCAAAGAATGTATAGTATGAATACTTAAATGTAAATAGAAAGTAGTTCTGTTTCTGTTTCCTTCTTCCCACCCATCATGATGCATGGGATTCCCCATTCTGTGTCATGGCTACTCCTGGTTTTGCTCAGTTATAACTAGAGTGCTGCACACTTAATTTCTACTGTAGAGTCTGCAAAGAATATTCCTTGCATTCATCTTTGACACCATGAACTTCTTTTATGAGGCTTTCCTATCTCCCCCTGTATTTTCATATGTGAAAAGTGCTACATTCTCTTAGTTATTTATTTTTAATATGAAAAACAGCCTCTTAGAATGTCAAGTTTGAACACTACTGGTTATGAGAGGTGTTAATGGCTCTTATCAGTGGCTTGTTTCATCAGCAGGCAATTACAGAACAGGTTACAACTGATGTGTGTGCCGATGTGCTAACCAGATGTCAGTTCTGTATCCTCCTCTTTTTCTTTTTGGGAATTTCACCAAAATCAGTTCAATTCTCCTTTCTGATGCTAGAATGCTACATCTAAGCTTTCAGTTGATTAGATGTGATGTCCAGACAAATAAAGACATCGATTTTAGGTCAGACAACCACCTAAGCCTGTAGAATCATCAGGCTATTAAAAAGTTAGATAAAATATATAAAAATTATTATGGTAAATAAACAGAAAGATTTGCACTAAGGTAATTATTACTTCCTTCAGAGTGTCCTGTTTTATTATGCATGTAGTATTTGTGTCATTAGAACTAGATCATCATTGCTATCTGGATAATAATCATGAGTACTTATCCTAGCTTTGTGCCATTTTAAGGATGTTCGGTTTGGTCCACACTCCAAACTTTTTTTTTTTTTTCATATTGTTTGAAGCTACACAGATGGCAAAAGTACCACCATCTTTGAAAATTAAGAGCTTCTAATTTAATGAATTAAGCCAGGAAATATTCATTATGTGTTTCTCTTTAAAGTGTATGTTTTGCAACGAGTTTTCTGTTCTTTTTGGAAACGTGGTAAAGATACAAAGTAACTACTGCTGATGCATAAACATTTGTTAGGTAATTTAATTGGTTTATTTTTTGTAGGGGTGTGTGATGCTTTTTCTGGATATATTTGTTCTTTTGATTTAAACTCAGACGCTAAAGTCACATACAAATTTAGAAGACTGTAGCATGGGAATATGTTTCTAAGAGCATTATTTTGCCTTGGTCACATTTTAATACACCTGAGGTACCTTCAGCAACCCAAACTGTTCTATGACAGTGAAAGATAAATGAGCGTGTGACAAAAAATATATTTTTTTTAGTTTTACAGAATATGAGGTGGATTAATAATAAACCTATGGTAAAATATTTGATACGTCTGTGCTACCTGTATTGGTTTAACTGTAGAGTTCAGTCTTCTGTTTGGATTTTCTTTGTCAGCTTTCAAATAGAGGAGGTAGCCTGCAGGTGATAAGTATCCCATTAATCTTTCTGATCCTCTAGCACTTGAGCATGAGAATAGCTGATCAATTACAGCAATTGTCTCCCTAAATGAGCTCTGCACATCTGCCTCTTATTTCATTAGTTAACTGTCTGCCCATATATCTGATAGAATGGAATCCTAGTGGCTTCTTACAGCTCGTTCTGTGTTACTATACAATAAGGATGGGGTTGTTAGCAAAATGGGCACAAAAGGGTATTTATCCACTACCTGCAATAAATATACATGCTATTGTGTAGGAGTGCTTTTGTCTCTAATCGCTGTTTGTAGAAACCTACTTAAAGCACATCAGTTTGCTTTTCAGCTTCCTATTTAGTCCTTAGCTGTAAGCTTTATATTTGTGAATTTATAATTTTTGCAATATAACCAAAGTCTTCCTATGCCCTAAACCATCATATCAATGTCTATATGATTTCAGATAACAGAAGCTACCATATATAAAGATAACAGTAGAAGTGTAATTTCCTCTTTGTTTCTTTATAATGCATCTTTTAAATATTTAGACATGATATCCTTCTCTCAGTAAATTTCCATTTGCGAAGCTGCAAATGAGTAGTGATGATAGTGGCAATGTTAGTAGGTATTGTTTATTTTGTTATTAGGTATTGTTTATTTAAAGTAAGCAAAAAACAATAAGTAACTGCATAATTAAAGGTTTGTTTTAAGAAACGTGGCCTGCAAAGTATGGCTTATAATTTTAATAAAGATAATACTTTATATATGCCTCTTTCCTTAATACTCAAGCTTTCAATTACAGAAAAATCAATTACCAAACAAAAATTAACTTCTAAGCAGCTGCTTTATTCTTTATATGTTAATATCTGATTAGTTTATTCTTAAGAATTTACAGGATTTAATATTCAAATGTTGTTTTCTTATGTTTACTGTGTACTAAATGGCATTGTATGATATAGATAGGTATTTAGCTAAATAATGAACTAAGCTAAGTGTCAAAAAGACTGACTTAAAAAATATTATGTTCTGAACTTGGTATAGATTATTCTAGGTGATTCTTGGATGCTTTCTGAACTTTTAAATATATTTGAATCTTAAATGCTCACATAATTGTGCTTGAAACTTGTTTCAGTGAATTTGAGGATAAATATATATATATTACAGATATTTTATGTAATTTCTGAAGCCTTGGAGCTGTAATAACTAAATAACACCAATCTTTTAAATTCATTTTTGACTATTTATTGCAGGTCTGGTTTGTATGAAATCAAGTACTTCAGTGGTTGAACTTGTTATGCTACTTTGTTCACAGGTAAGACATTCTCTGGTTTTAATTGTATTAGTTTCTTTGGTAGTGCTGGATTATTGCCAGCCTAAGAATTGTATCTTGCTCTTTGTTTCATTCTTCCATTTCAGTATAATAAAATACAAATTAATCTCTTTTGGTTGCATTTAAATTGTAGATATTTTTTTTTTTAATCAAACTTTCCATAGTTTGTCTATATTCACAGGTTATACAATGTTTATTTGTATTCATTTTGTAAAAGTGTATGGATGTACATTATGCACTTTTTCTGTACATGAACTCTCTTTCAAGCCAGTCCATATTTAGAATATATAAATAAGATACTGTTGTCAAAATACTATGTTGAAATCTGTCTTTGAGTTAGTAATTTTTCAAAAGCTTACTTTGTGCTAACTTTATTACTTTTGATATACGTGACATAACTCATTGGATATCTTATGTAGCTGTCAGTATATAAAAAGCAGAGGAACACGGTTTAGGTAGCAGAACATGGTTTAGGTGGCAGTAGCATAGTATTTCTATTTTTAAAATGTAGTTAAACTATCGGGGTTTTAGCATAGCAATAATGGGTTTTTCAGAAATCTGACTCATTTAACATTTTGAATTGCTTTCACAAGTAAAATATTCAAAACTAAAATAATACCTCATAGTGTTTGAATTGTTTATATCTCAATTTTAATTTTCCTTGTTTTGACAGAAGTGTTATTGACTAATTTCATGTATGTGACTTTTTATTTTAAACTGCAGTAGTAAGTTATCAACATTTTAGAGTTTTTCTCATTTTGTAAAATATAAGAAAAATACAGTGGCCTAACAGTTCCAGATAACTTCACAGGTTTTTAGACTTCTCTAAAGACTTATTAACAGCGTTTCATTTACTAAGTTCCCCACAGATTTATAATACCAGTTAAACTCAAACCAAGTATATAAAATGCCCAGGTTAACTTGTTATAATATTACCAAGGAAAATCCCTTGTTTGTAGCTTTACTTAGCATTTACTGCTGCATAATGAGAACATGCACCAATAGTATACTGAAAACAAATTAGTTTCTAGTAGTAATTGAAGATCTACTTTTGAGGAATCTATCTGTAAAGAATAAGCATTTACAACTGATTTTGGGGGATTCCAACTTACCTGCTGTTTGCCAGTCCATAGGTTGCGTTTCTTCAAGCTTGTGTCATAAGGAAATCATTAAATCTTGTTTTCCTTTTTTTTTTTTTCCTTCTCTTCCTTTTTTTCCTTCTTCTTTTAGCCAGGGTGGATATTGGTTAGGGAAAAGTAAAAGAAAAATACAACCCTGGCAGGAATCCTCAGTGGGATTTGAACTTCAAACCTTATCCAGCAGGGCACTTGAAAAATTTGTTACCTAATGGTGAAGTCCTGGGTTCCAGGAAAATTCCAAAACATCCATTAAGGCTTTTGAGCTCTATGTTCATGTCATGAAACTTTTTTTTTTTACTTTTTTTAGCAGCTTTTGAGACATTTTCTTGAGGCAAGGAATAACTTACAGTCCTTTCTTCTCTAGCCTTTGTTTTTACTGCAGTTCTCAGGAATAAAGTGGAATGTAGCATTAGGGTCTAGTGTCTTTGATGGCCTCATCATCTAATCATAGGTTTAACATTACTCATTTGCTGGCTCCAGGAATTCCTGCCATTAAGGGCCCTAGAGATGAAACTTTGCCTCAAATATTGATTGAAAGGAAGAGAGAGAAATTTAAGCTCTTTCCGCAATGCTTGCTTTAGACATCCCAGTAAAGCTATGTAACAAATGCAGCTAAATCAATTTGTTATTTTTATGACTATTATACATGTAATCTATTATTTAAAATATTCAGCTATTATAAAAATGAGATTCATTTTATACCTGAAATAATGTGAAGAGCGTAATCATTTTGAAGTTTTGAACATCTATTCATTTTCTTCAGTGTTTGTTTGGGAGAGCTATTTTCCCTCTACCCAATTACTTGGGGAAATTGCAAGCTTTTAGTTTTTATACCCCATCTGATACTTCAAGGTTTTTTCCTTACCTTCTAAGTAAGGAAGATTTTGTGCCCTGATGTCCATTCATTGCCAAATACTTCAGAATCTAATCCTGTAATATTTGCTGGTGGTGTTAGATGTTTCTATAGGAATTGGTCAACAGGGGGCTGTAGTGGTGCAAATTGCATTCTCCTCCCCTCATCTTTCTAACTATTGCTTCTGTAAATTGCATTTCCACAGAATATTGTGCTTAATCCTATAGGTGTATGAAACAATCAGATCTGTAGTTCTATTCACCTGCAGGAAAAACGTTGTTAGTTTTTTTTCTATTTACATTTTAAAACTATTTGTCAAATAAAACATGAGGTAAATGCTATAAGAGTACTAATACATAAAATGTCTAGAGGAAGAGTATCGCAGACAGACAAATATTGTAATCCATCCTATGGCTCACAGAATATGGAATTAGGAGTATAGAAGAAGTTGTTTGCAGCAGATGAGGTGAAGTCATCTCTATAAATAAAGAGATAGTGCTACCTGAGCTTTTCTATATGATAAGTAATACGAACAGGAAGGACTAAAGTACTGTGGTTTTGCAGTAATCCTAATATAACTAGGGCTTTTCTTCCTAACATGGGTAAATCCTTCATATTCAGATTGAATGACATTTTACAGATTACGTGGGGAAGTTTGAAATGTGTCATTGAAAAGATAGATGACAATATTTAAACCTTTGAAAAGTACAATTTTGTTTGCATAGAACAGAGTAACTTTAGACATTGAAAAGGAAAGGGAAATGCGAAGTTTGTTTTCCTTTCATTTGCTACAGCAAATTAGATGCTTTTATGCTCTTTATGTTGGAAATTCCATGTTAACGACTACAGATTAGCAAGGATGTCAGAATTTTTTTTCTTATCTGAGCTCCTGAATAAAATCAACATTGCCAGCGGCTCATGTCCAAGGTATGGTCTAAATTTACATGAAATATCACGTTACAAATGTCTGAAGGTACATGTCATGGATAATTCAGTTCATATGGGCAGCCTTTTTGACTCAGAGGGATATGCAATCAAGCCTTTCCCCCAAAGGAATTTGGAGTTTCTGTGAAAAATACATTTTGAATTTTAAAGGAACTCCTGTGTGGATAGTGCATCACTTGTGAATTTGGGGAAGAACGAAAAGTTCTACTCTTTGTATTTTCAGAATCTCTCTTGTGTAACTTGCTTTCCTGCACCCATTTTATTTTTTCCAAGTATCACCTAATTCACTAGATTAAAATTTAGGTATGAATGCTTTATTTTCTTTATTTCTTATATAAACCAAAAGTATACATCCAAGTACTCAAAATATATTTTTTCTGAATAATTGATGATAAACATACAATGATTTTTGCTTATCATAAAATCGGCATTTTCATTTGGATTTGGCCTATTTTAACATAAAATGGATGAAGATGTGTTATGTTTGACAAGATCTGTGCTTGATTATCTGGTCTTTGTTCCCTCAGCCTAGTTGAGCATGTCACAACTGCGTTGCTGTTGGTAGTGGCAGATAAAAAAAAACAAGCAAAAACCCAAAAAAACCCAACCAAAAACATTAATTTTTGCAATGTAGATTTTCTTACATAAAATTTAGATATCAATTACTTTTTTCTTTTTTTTTTTTTTTCCCTAGCCAAAACACTACAGTAGTTTTTAATTACTTCCAGATCTTTTGCAAATTTTTCTCTTTGAGGATACAGCTTCTGCAGAAACTGATGTTATCCCAAAGGAGTTTTATCTCATGCCACTTGTATTTCTCAGTATCTTATATATTAACAGGAGAAATTTAATTTCTTAAACAGAAAATACTGTCTCAGTATCTAAGACATCTCACTACTTGATGTATTTAAAAATATAACTATTATAATGGGAAAATGGTTACTTTAGGAAAAAAATGCTGTCATTTGTGATTGTAGAATGCATGTAGAATATCTGCCTAATTTTAGGTTTTTGTGGTTTTCAATTCATCCTTCAATCTGTTGATTTCCTTTCCCCACATGTTGGAAGTTTGGTCAAGATTGTAATTCAGGAGCCTGCAAGGGAAATAACAATGCTAGAAAAAAAATATTCTGCTTCTGAATCACTATGTCTAGGAAAAAGATGTCTTTTAGATGCTGTCCCTTGTAAATATGTTTTTATTAGAAAAACTCTGAGGAGTGAGGAAAAGGACATACATAAGCAAGAAATGCTTTACTTAAAACTGGCAATTAAAAACTGTTAGAAGATTCTCAAATAAGTGATAACAAATAGTCCCTCTTATAATTAAGATATTAAGATGTAAGTAGATTCTGTAAATTTTTTACTTCTGTGAAAAATTATAGAACTTAAAGTGCCTTAAATAAAGCAAACTATTCTGAGAGTATATCCATAACTAGACAAGCTCCAGTATGTAACTAACAGGTAAACTGAGCTTCAGATAAGCCTTTCAAACGTTGGTTAACCCTGTGAGCCTCATAAATGAGTTGTATCTGTCCATATTGTCTTATCCATTAACCTGGAAACTCAGAAGCTACTTGAATTGGATCCGGTCTGTCTCTTCATATCACAGGCAGCCATTCAGTATATACTTATTCAGTATAACCAAAAAAAGATCTGTGACAGATCTGCTCCCAGGCAGTGCAATCCGTAAAATGCTCCTCAGCAGTTTGACACATGTAAAACATAGTAGTTCTATACTACTATATATGCTATAGCATTCAAACCCATAAAGTAGTGAAATGGGGCAGAAGATGGGACAGGGCAAGGCAAATGAGTGCATTGCCTGTTGTCCTAAGTGGCAAGAAAAAATCTGAAACGATATCAAGCAATTAATCCCACTCCAAGGAGAAATGGAAAAACAAACAAAAAAACCCAGAAAGATTTGCCTTGCCAGTGCAAATTCAAAGCAAATTCTCAGTGAAGAAATTCCGTGATAGGTTTAGCTCTGAAAATATAGGAAGAGCCATCAGCCAGACACTGGAGAGATTTCAGTACACACTAGCACA